TTTTACTGCCCCAAAACGTGATGACAGACACAAAAAAAAACACACACATCATGATAAAATCAATATATTCATCGCTCCGCTCAGAATCTAAAAAAATATATCATATAATTTGAAAAAGAAACAGCTTTTAAGGAAATCACCTATCGGTGACAYCTACTAACTTTTAGTTGGATTTACGATTACTTAAGTAGATCGCGATTCCAATTACATTTAAGCCTGCGTGGGGGGTTGCCTTGGATATACAGTGAAATCATGTCTTTAATGAGAGGATTACTGGAGTTGAATTTGGAGTGGAAACGGTGGTATTGAATTTTGGCGTAGTCAGTGACATTTATTACTTTGAGCCTTGAGGTCGTTAGGTTAGGAGCGCCGGAGCACCAGTTATAGAGCGTAGGGCAATATTTTGGAAAGATTGGATGGGGCGAATGTTTGAGGGTTTGGCCATCCCCCATATTTGAATACCATATGACTAGACAGGTTACATATATATATTATATACAGTAACATTTTGGTTTTTAGATTAAAAATATTTTTTGAAATAAATAAGTGACGGAACAAGTGTTTCTCGGAACAAATACGTATATAGTTACATTTTTGATATTATAATCGAATTTGATCAAATTAACTTTGAAAAAACGTTTTTGTGGTACAAATGGTAGTGATCCGCGACRTATTGCATACCATTGATAGAGTTAAGTGTTGTTGCATACCCATAGACATAATATATCCTTCGACCATATAAGCTATATTAGCTTATATGATGGTCGAAGAATAAATCAATTGTACCCAGTTGTACATGTTTAGATTTTAAAAAATATCATTGGCCATGTAAACATGTGTGTGCATTATTTATTTATGTACCAGGATGTTCGTTTGAAGATTTACCACAAAAATTTCAAAATAATGTTTTCATATCATCTGATCCTCGGTATTCGATTACTAATAATACAGATCATGAAATCAAAATTCAAAACAGTGTCACAGTTTTAAATGAAAATAATRAAAATGYCATTACCTCWATTAATCCAATGATTAATAGAACCAATGAAAATATTTCAAATATACCAGCCCAATGTCGAGAATTACTTAAGAAAATGATTGATTTAACTTACATCATAGACGAAAAACAACATCCAGAATTGTCAAAAGAACTAGATACTTTAAATAATGTCCATAATAAAATGAGTGAAATGGTTATAAAKCATAATGGTTTAACACTGCTACCTAAAAAACGTAGTTCAACAGTATTATTAGATTTACCGAAAACCCATAAAAGACCTAAGACCTAAATCAAAAGACTAATTAAACCTAAACTAATTTGTATTTATTATTGTGATTTTTTATTTTATATTTWTTATTATACTTAATTGAGTTAATTAACGAATTAGAACCACTGAGAAGTGAGAACTAAGATTATAATTATAATTATAGTTGGTGACACTATCATATTATTGTGATAACACTGATAAAATAAAAATGATAACACTTTGGTGCTGTAATCGACTGTATATTCGCTTATCAGTGAGTAACGCAATCAGTGATAACAAATCCGGATATAAAATCTTACTRTATATATATAATTCCGTGAGCGCAATCGTCTGGCGGCGCGGCGCCGTAGCGGAGACCTTGGGCTGCAGTTCCTTCCGCAGTTCCGCTGTGGGTTGTTATCAATGTTATCTAATTTCGAAACTTTGCGAAGTTAACTATTGACTCGCAAAATACCACTACCACTTTACTAAGTACAATGCCATAATAACAATATACGTATTATTTATTATTATTATTATTATTGTTATTTTCATAATCATTTTCGTCGTAAGCTCGTAAAGTCGTAACAGTTTTTCTTTTCGCAAACTCGTTTGAATAGTGTTTGTTTTATTTATTAAAGTAATAATAACAATACTCTACTCACAGGTTTTAAAATTGTCACTAAATACACGGTTCGCTTGTACTTTGTTTTTGACATCTTGCAATCGTTTCCTAGTTAATTATGCGTATTATACGAGACGATTGTTCTGTCGTTGTTATTGCGATGGTCATCTCCAATGAAGGACACACGGCGCATTAATATTCCAAATGTGTAGGAAATCGTTTCTGGTTCACGCATTATTCCGATCAATTTGACAAAACCACCAAAGTGCCTTCTGTAGGCTATGAGATTATGTAAGTACTTATGGAAAACCTTTTTTTAGAAAAACTAAATTCGTTCCAGAAAATAATTCCTAGTTACAGGAAATATTGTCGTGATACGTATTTGTGTAATTGTTATGATTTATTTTTAAATTTCTTTTTGCAGTACGTAAAGTAAAAATCCGAATTTTTGCACATTGTGCTTCTGTAGTAACTCTTCACAATGTCCAGAAGGTTAGACTTACTTTTTTACTGCTTCATTATTATTCATTTATTTTACTGTTCTATTATTATTTTAATCAGATGGTTCCACTCCCATTTAAATGGCATGGACACTCAACGTATACTTTTAGATGAAGGTGTTGAAGGTTCATTTTTGGTCCGGAAATCATACAGCAGAAAAGGACAATTTGTCTTATCTGTTAGGTAAATTCAAATATAAAATATTTTTATTTTTGACACGTTTTTGAGATCATTATTTTATTTTTTGTCATAGGCATGGCAATAAGGTTAACCATATAAAAATTCATAATGATGGCGAGCTTTTTGATCTCAATGGTGGTGAAAAATTTAATACACTTACAAATCTTGTTGAACATTATATGACACATCCACGAGTACTCAAAGAACAAGGTGGCATACCACTACCTCTATTAATACCAATTGGTTCACCTGAACCAACCAATGAAAGATGGTTTCATGGTCAAATGTCAAGAAAAGAAGCAGAGTATTTGATTTTAGAAAAAGGACGTCCTGGTAGCTACTTAGTACGAGAATCACAATCTGATCCTGGAAATTATGTATTAACTGTTAATGTTGATGATAAAGTGGCTGAAATTAAAATAAGATTTAATGTAAGTATTAAAATGTAATAATTTGTATGTAGAATTCTTGAATATGTGGATCATTGATAATGTAAATTATCTACTAAATAACTATTAATTATTATTTATATTCAGTACAGAAACTAACTGACAAATACAAATAATGACATTTAATGGACTTAGTTATTTTTGTCTTAAAGATTGATTATTTATTAATTTAAACTTAGACAATATTTAATCTACTATAAGTTATTTTAGTCACTATAAAATAAATTATAATTATAATATGGTGTTTATTTTATTTTAAAATAAATTGTTTAACCGTATTAAAAATATATTGGTATAAAATGTTAAGGGAGAAAAGTATGATATTGGTGGTGGAGAAGAATTCTTGTCGCTGAATGATTTGATGAAATACTACAGCTTTAATCCGATGGTTGATCATAATGGATCTGTTATGCATTTGATGAATCCAGTAAATGTAACAAGAATTAGTATTGCTGGAATAGTTGACCGTGTATTTAAACTGAAGGTGAGTTATATTGTGATTCGAGGTGATTGTACTCATTTTACTTAGAATGCAACCTCTTAATTTTTTTATTTTTCTTTGATTCTCCATAAAATATTTTGTTTGAATAAAGATAAGTTATCAAGTTTTTAATTTTTTTAATATCATACCTATTTATTTTAGATTATTTTAACATTTATTAGAATTTTAATATTATTATTATTAAAATAATTTAATAACCTTCTAAATAGATAGAGTGTTTTCACACAGAATTGTTTTTTCATTGTATACAAAATAAATCATTGTATTCAAATTTAACACTCCCATTACTGTGAGTCTGTGACTTGAATGTAGTGATGCTATATTATGTCTTGGCTTGGCCGATATATTGGTTTAATATATTGTGTTATGGGATGCTCGGTTATCCCGGAATTAAACTTTAATAATTTGTCTTTTACTATACATTTCTAGTAGAAAAATAAAATTATTTTTGTATATTTCTATGAGATAATTTAGTTGATAATTTGATGAACTGTTGACTTCTTGCGTTATTTTCTCAGCATTATGATGTCTAGAGTTTGGGTGTTGTAGGTATTTCCTCTTTTTATATTGGTCTAACATGAATTTACATTAGCAATACATTTATTTCATATTACGTAATGTTAATACTCAAAACATTTTACTTTTTTAGCCATTTTTAAAATTTTTTTTGGTTTTATTTTATTWAATTGTATTTCTTAAGTTTTTTCGTAACTGTATTGTATTCATTTTTACTGTCATATTATCTGATAAGATATATGTATATTGAATAAAATAAATAAATGTAAGTTATCAAATTATGAGTTAAGAATAAAAAAAATTAGTGCTTTGGTTGTCAAGGTTTTATTGCTTTTTTAAAATGTTTTTTGTGCTAGAACATCCAAACTTTATTGATGACCAATATTGAGGAATACATATATTGTTTTCCTGTTACATTATTTGTTACTAATTTATAATTTTGTTTGTTACTCATTTCAATTTGTAACGTTGAGATAGTTTTTACCTTTATAAATGTATGTAGTCAAGTGTTACCATTGTGCATGCTATTCCAGTTTATAAATATATAATACTAAAACTGTTAGTATACCGTAGAGCAGTGGTAAGATTTTTCCATGAAATTTATATGAACTGACTTGATTTAAGTTATATAAAATATGGTGACCCTAACTCATTGATGAGTTACACAATGTACATATTGTACTGGAGAGGGGTTGTCTACTTGACGTCTTTTTAATAATAATTAATTATAAATACATGTTAATCTTGTGTTATAGCATCAGAAATATCAACATTATGCTTTTGGTACTGGTGGGTTTTGGGAAGAATTTGATGTATTACAACAATGGGAAACTAAACGAGAATCAACAAAAGATATTGGTTTTTTAATTGAAAATAAATCCAAGAATCGATATCGTAACATTTTACCATGTATGTTAATGTTATTTAAAAGTCATAATAATGATTTGCTTATTTTTTTTTATAACTGTTTTAGATGACCATTCTAGAATTGTATTAAAATGTTGTGATAAAAGTTCACCGGGTGCAGACTATATCAATGCAAACATGATAAAAGTAATTATTTTACTTTTCCTTAAATAGATTAAAACTAATAATACGTTAATAATTTTGAAGCTTGAGCCATTTGTTTTGGCTGAAAAATATGAAACACGTAATTACATTGTCACTCAAGGTTGTCTACATAATACAGTTGATGACTTTTGGAAAATGATTTGGCAAGAAGATTCTCGCATAATTGTTATGATAACAAAACTATTTGAAAAGTCTAAAGTATGTTAAAGTAATATTTTTAAGTTATTTATAAACTATTAAAACCAATTTTTATTTTTTAGGAGAAATGTTTTAAGTATTGGCCAGATCTAGGTCATTCATGTGAGTACAGCAAAATCACTGTTGAAAATCTTGGAGAGTATGCCCATCAACAAGATATGGTTGTGAGAATGTTTAATATTAGTCTTTCAAACTACAGACATAGAAGAGTACTCCAATACCATTATACGGTAATAAATATTACATGTTAATAATTCTCTGTACAGATGATGATGCCTTACTATTAATAAGCACTTTAAATTTTAACAGTAGAGGCTTTGATAAGGTTTTTACATTAGGAAGTTAACTGTTTTGTTTTACCAGAAGGTAGCTTAACTAAAGATAAGTAATTCTCAATTTAAGATCATGAACAAGCCATTATACCATTTGTTTATATGTGAGAAAAATACTTTTAAATTCCTAGAAAAAATTTACAATAAATTTAATATTTAATTTGGTGGTTGTCGCTTAAAGAATGAAAATCATAGCCATGATGTTGTCTTATCTTATCACCTACTACACTTGCCTTTCTAATATAAMATTTTTATTTAAATTATTTCTTTCTAAAAATAAACAATTTTTGTTAGGGATGGCCGGATCATGGAGTTCCTTCTGATGCAGGGTCGCTTCTTGACTTGCAATTTGTAGTTAATGCTCGCCAGTTTGAAATAGAAGCTCACTCAGATGTTACACATCCTCTAACTGTACATTGTAGTGCTGGAATTGGAAGGACTGGTACATTTGTTGTTCTTGACATTCTTATTGGTTTAATAAAYCGAAAAGGTAAGTATTAAAACTTATAAACAACAGTAAAATGTATTATGATTATTTATTTATGTAAGGTCTTGATTGTGAGTTGGATATTCAACGCACCACTCATCTGGTAAGATCTTTTCGTCCTGGACTTGTACAATCTGAAGCACAATATCAGTTCATATATACAGCTATAAATCACTATGTACAATCAGTATGTTCAAGAATATCTGCTGAAAAGGTTAGTAATTAAATAAATAATTTTTTTTCTCTTGTTGAACTAAATTAGGAGTTTTTTTTTTTAATTTTGTTATTTTCAGAAAATTGAAATGTTTGGTCGAGAATACTTGAACATAAAATATACAGATGAACTAGCGACAGTTGTAGGTGAAGAAAATGTGCCAACCTTAAACCCTTGTACAGCTCAGAGGGTCTTAAAAAATGCTATTACATGCAACACCTATCCTACTACCGATTCACCTTTAGTTTCTCCTACTCTAGACAAATCAAATGTTGTTGAACTCCTTGGCTATGACCCCGGAAAACCAAATACTCCAACACCGGCTATAGTGACTACGGCAGATTCGTGTCCTAATTCACCTACTTCTAACGTGTAAGTATGTTTGGGTTAGTTTTATATTAGTTATTAAAATGCGTATGTGTTTCCACCATTTTGATACCAAAATTAAACTTTTTAAATTTGTATTCAATAGAAAACTAGTATAAAATTGATTTACAGTTATAAGTATTTTCATTTTGTTTTATGTTTTAATAACTAGTTTTTTCTGTTTTAGATTTGAATTACATTCCTATGAAAACATTACATCACCTTTACCATCTAGTGAATGCGATATTGGACCTCCACCTATGGAAGCTCCTCCACCACCCCCACAGTCACCTATTATGATATTATAATTTTAACTTTACCCCAGTCTAAATATGTAGACAACTATTTTACATTTCATTACATTTTCTTCAGTCATTGTATCTCATATTTTGTAYTTGATAATACATTTGTTTTTAATAACACATAATTTTTAAATGTTAATTTAATTATGAATATTGATATTTTAATTAACAAAATGTAGTTTACTAAACATTCCTGGTTTTGGGCCAATTTAGAATAATAACTACTAAATATTGACATAAATTTGATATAATTAAAGTTTGGCTACCATAGTTACATGCCAAATCAGTTTGTTAAATTAATTAATTTATTGTTACTCATATTCTTGTATTATTTATTTATATTGTTAATAAATATAGAAACATTATTGTAAAATGTTATTACTTATATCATTATTAAGTTTTTAAATAATAAATAAATATAATTTAAATTTTTATTAATTTTATTTTTTATGTTTAGTTATTTATTTAAAAATAAATGATTATTTTTTATTAAATTAAATAAGATAATTTATTTAAAATGTATTGTATGCATTCATGTCCATGCTATAACTCCTAGAAGTCTAGGCTGATTTCTATTCTATATTTAAAAAAATCAATCAAATATTACAAAACAAATAATACAGCTACTCACCTTAGTTATTTGTAATGACAATCAGACAATACAGTTTAAACATTATKTATTCAGTTAATTTGAGTTCAAAGTGTTAGTGGTTATTTGAAGAGGTTTTAAATTGAAATATTGAATTATAATACTTTAGTTTATATAAATACAATATCATAGTACACATAATGATGTCCACCAGTTACAATGATTGTTTTTGTGTGTACAAACTAATCTTACTTAAGTTTCAATTTTTAACTTCAGTATTATTTCTGATGCAAAATGCATTTAGTTTGTAATTGTAGCGTATGAGAGGTTTTAAATTTTAAATTCTCAGTAGTTAACAAAAGCACTGGGAATAACAAACAGAAAAAAAAATTTTTTAATGCACAAAATTTCCACTAATTATTTATATTAGTACGGTATGTTCTTTACACCTTAATACCTAATAATACATTTTCAATCAAATATATCAGTTAGTAATATTATAGGMAGACAGATTGTCTTCACTCAGAATTACTTTTCATATACAAGGAATTTTTCATTGAATTAAAATGTAACACACTAGCTACAGTGACTTTTTAGACAACTATTGTATARATGAATGTCAGAGCATTATCTACTTATTTGCTTTTTAATTGCTAATATTCTAGGATACTGAAATTAAAAATCTTAGATATCGGAAGTTACAGCATAATTTATCCATTTAAACATACTATAGTGATGGATCAACTATGATTAACAAACCGACCACTAGTAAAATTCTGTTGTAGCTTAGCTCATATGTATACATAAAATAATTTATTAAGTATTAACCAATACAAAATATAGAATTAACTAATATATTYATATTTATCAGTCGGTAATAAAAAAATAAACATGTGTATTACATCAACCAGAAGATATACATTTTATGATAGATACATACAAATTTCCTTAAAAGCAAAGTATTAATAAATACTTCTAAAACACATTGTATTTTAACAAACACTTAAGTTATAATTGATTACATCATAAAAATATAATACTAAAATACCCTGTATACATTATTAAGTTGTGAACAAATGTTATGTTAGAGAATTAGTTACGAATTAGTATTAATAAATATTCCCATATTATTATGGAGTTAATTGCAATTTCTATTTAATATTAAGTTTAAAACAACAACAAATATTAAATTAATTATGACACCATTCTACAACCCCTTCCCCACAATGGTTGGTTTATTTTATTGTGATTGCAGTAATGATTCTTCAGCTACTGGTGTAGAGTCATCTAAAACATTTAATACAAATAAAAATACATAAATAATATAAACCATGAAGAAGTAGATGGGTTAATTAAACTATTTGAACTACCAGTTAAAATTTCATTCGGCACTACTTAACTAAATAAAATGCACACAAAATTGTGTGATGTGGATCAAGTATACAAACAGTTATGATGTTAATTTACTACACAAACAAGAACAAGTATTGACCGCAAAGAAAGAAATGATCGCCTAAACACAACACCTTAAGAGGACATGATATCCGTATGTGTTGTCTCCTTCTTACAAGCGCATCCATTGCAAAAACTGTTTGGCACGGGATACAACCACTCAGTCTGTACTCTTAGTAGAAACATAAAAAGTAAACACAATATAGAAGAGATAATATTTTCTGTGTCGTACCGTTTTTATTGGATTGATATCTTTAATGAGAGAAAAGCTATAATACTTTTAAAAATCTGATAATTTTAAGTTTTTCAAACTTCAATAACTTTTGATATATTGGTCTTATCGAAAAATAAAAACGCTATAACACAGTTAAAAGTTAAAATCCTCCTTTTTTCATGGTGAAAATTTGGTTTATTAATTATAACTGTAGATTTCTAGGTTCTTTCCCGCGCGAAACAAATTTGGCCATGTTAAGCACTTGTAAGACAGATACAACACATGTGGATATTACATCATCTTAAGAGTAAATTGTTTGTGTAGCTTTATTGTAATATACAATTACCTATAGAACAAAATTATTATGAAAATAAAAATGATAGTTTTAGAAATAGATGCATCTTAATGCCACTGACGATATAATATTTTAACCAAAAAAATTTGATTATGCTATTTATTTGGGAGTGAAGTACCTCCTAAAATTGAGTCTATGGGCGTGAATTCTCTTTAGTTAACTATTTGCTTACCTTTTAACACTACTTGGTCTCCAGTTTTAGAATTTGAATTATGTGATGATGATGGTGGATCCACCAACTCTTCAATTGTTGGACCTGAATCTTCTGGATTAGCAAAATACATTATATGTTTTATAAAATATAACAGAGCATATTATTTTAAGTCTTACTAATTATTAAATCTTTATGTTGATGCTCAGAATGCTCACTCTCGTTTGTGTCTGAATCACTTTTTGATATCTCATCAGTTATTTCTTCAATAGTTTCAGTAGATGTAACACAGCCATTTTGCATTATTGCATTGTTGTCATAACTAATTGCTAATTGAGGTTTAGGTTTAAGAGATGGATTCCATTGAGAACAATATGCACATCTGTATGCTAAAATACAAACATTATCCAAGAAAGAATCATAATATACAATTTTTTTATCAACTAGTAATAAATGCATTTGAATTTATACAATAAAAATAAAATCGGATAGAAAAAACACAATTCATGTAAACAATGATAATACAGTAAAACTGGTGTTAACAAAGTTTCTGTTATAGACAGAATTCAGTATTTTTTTAAATCAAATTCACATAAGCATCTATTTAGCGAAACTATTGAATTTTCATGCAAATCTTAATGTAAATATTTATCATTATTATTCATACCTAAGAAGTCAAACTCTTCTTTACGAGCCATTCCATTATGAGAACCACATGTTCTACAAATTAATGCATATCGATTTTGAGGTCCATCACCAAGAACTTTATCAGCTAAACGATCAAATATTGTACGGTCCCTTGAAAGTAGTGGTCTTGGAAGAGCTAACCCTGAGTAAAATAGTTTTAATTTAATAATTAAAAAATATGTAACACTACAATTAAATAATGCTCACTTGGCTTAACTGTCGAAGACATTATTGATGGTGGATGACCCACATTTGATGCGGTAATCAATGGTCTACCAGAAGAAGCATATGGTGGCTTATTGCTCGTAGATGAAAGTGCTCTTTGGGTAATCTAAATCCAAAATGCTATCTAACATAATGAATATGAATAAAATGAAATTTAGATATACTTACAAAATGTTGAGAAGTCATGGATTGAAGTTGATGAGGAGCATATTTTTCTAAAATTTCTTTTGCTACTTTAAATGTTTCTTTTTCCATTACCTCATCAAGAAGTTTTTTCTTTACAGATTTTAATTCTGTTAATTTTTTTTTATATGTCACTATTTTTCGATTATAATACCAAACATCAAATTTATAATAGTATAGAGCTCTGAAACAATAACTAATATTAAAATCTACCATACATAAAAATTAACTAAATTATATCATACATGATTGGATATGCTGCAAAAACAGCCATGATATAGTTATTTTTAAGCCGTTCATCAGATATTAAACCAAAATAATAAATTATATAAACAAATCCATACATGAGAACTGAATGGAATACTATTTTATAATAATTTATCGGTGAAGTATTTGAAGTCATGTTTTCGATGTACATAATTTCCTGAAACAATGTTTTAACAGTATGAATATTAAATAAACAGTTTGATTCGTATTTATAGTATTAAATAATACAAATTATTTCAATATTAACTTACATCTTCTAATGATTCCAAAACTGCTTTTGTATCTTTTTTTTTCTATATAAAAAAACAAACATTTATGAAACATTATAAGTCATAAAAGAATAACATGTACATTTTATTGATAGAACCAATGAATTTATAAAATAACCATGCTTTTCTTTTCTTTTTCGTTATTTTTTAGAAGACTCAAAAATATTTATAGACTTCAAAGATAATAAAAAAAAGAATAAAATATAGGTAAGTAAGGTTATATGATACAAGTATATTATTCAAAATGATCCCAATAATTCATTTATTTTTATCTATAAACCAGAAGTATAGGTAAATTGTTATACGTACCAAGTTAATAGTGTTATTTAATTTTTGATTTTCATATATTATACTACCTATACATCATTGAAGTGGTAACAAATCATCATAATTAATTAATAAATTTACTAAATCAAAGTATGTTTTTGACTAAAATTTATGAGATATTAGTGGGAAAAACATTTTAGGATCAAGTATCAACAGAATTTAATTGAAGAAGAAACACCTGTGGCAAAAAATCCAGCATAAAATTTTTAAATTAAACTTTGTGTAACACAAATGAAATTATTAGTAAGAATAATTTGATGGTATTACCTACATATATATTACTATTAAGTTGATTCAAAATAAGTATTTTAATGTGTTTAATAATATTATTAGCCAGTTGAATATTTTCAAGACTTACTCTAAATCGTGAGAGTATGCTGCCCATCGTAGGCGATTAAGTATTACACCAAATACGCCATTTTGACATTGAACGTAGGCTTAAGACTTTTATTAGTTTTCTATGCTAAGGCTAATTGCTAAAGCCTGTGAGAACTGAGCACGTCCAGGCACAACGACAGTCGTCAGTCTGTCGCTATAAATATAGTCATATCGCAACCGCCAACCGTAATATGGTTACTCTTTACAAACAACTGACAAAAATCCAGACGACCAACAGCAGCAAAGCGTAGTGAACAAGTGGAAATGGAATATGAAAAAACTTAAGAGTAGGTAGTAATAATGAATAATAAGTAATGACGTTTATAGTGCTTATACTTTATCGTTGATTTGGAACCAAAAAGCAAAATGTAAAACCGTAAAATGATAAGTACGATCAGCTAACGATAACGAACGTCATGTAAATAAATCAAAGACATTATAGATCATCAGCCGGAGCCCGGGCCACTGAGGTTATCAGTAATTTGATTGTGGAATATGTACCACTAATCAGTCCACTACTCCACTATCGTGGTTTGCAGTTAAGTACTAGCTGCATTATTGGCAATAATTGCATAAAATAAAATAATAAAGTTTTACGATTATCCGATTATGATTTATGACGCTGAATGCTTATGATTAAGTGAGTTCATGTTCATCATAAATTATGATACAAATAATATCATAATATTATTTTATTTTGTRCCTTATGGGGAAATCACATAAATATTATTTACAGATTTCCATACTTATATTCTATTCATAACGTGTAAAATGTATGTTATTTTCATAGACATAAATCAAAATTAATCATTTTATAAAATACAGTTGATATAAAATGCGTTTTCGTGGAGGTAAGGAAAGAAAAGATTGAATGGTTACTTACAATTTGACTATAATTTTATGTCAATGCTGTTTACTAAAATGTGAATAACTGTTTTACTGTTGTTAGTTCCTATACTTTATATGCAATATTATAACCACAGATAATAAATTATTTAATTATATATTTGCTATCTTTATTTGTGTTTATAACAATAATACAACATACTATAGTAAGTCAAGGTGGATTGATCTAGTATTAGGTTTATCTTTTCTCTATTTTATGGTGTCTATAAATTATCATATTATAACTATTAATGTCTTAAGTATCCTAGACTATTATTTGGTCATGTCCTAGACTCTAGAGCTTTAATTACCAAATAAATGATAAGGACTGAATCATGTATCATGATCAAATTAATATAATAGGTTGTCAAGGTAAACTTTTATTTTCAAAATAAATGCTTATGAAATATAGAGCTCAAAAAAGTAAACTTTTTTTTAAAAAGGTAGAAAAACTTGGAGTCTACTTAAAATACACCAACCTTGAAAATAAAATTAAAAAACTTAATTTTTAACCAAAAAATAATTATCAAATATTTGCGATCTTGATGAGTTTTGTCAAACTTCTACCAATCATAAGAAAATTACTATAATACTATTGTCTATGGACATACAATCAACTTGTTTTTATTACACTAGTACACAACTATTCATTTATGAGAAATCTAATACTACATTTTCAAGATTTTACACCATAAATGTATAATAATTATTAAAAAGAAAACAATGTCAGTTTTGTACTTATGTATTATATAGACAATATTTAGGTACTTCATAATAATGAATATAATGGAAAAATGCTTTTATTCCTACAATACTTATTGAACGTAAATAATTCCACAATTTAAAAATATTTTATAATTTCACGGATCTTGCACTGGTTTATTGATTCAATATTTATTTTATTAGACATTTAAAAAAAAAACAAAATTATGATTTAAAAATACATTAATAAATACAATTATTTTATTTAGATTAACAATCTTAAATAAAACACAAGTTAAGTTATAATAAACTTAATAACAACACAGACTGTACACTATAATAGACCACAAACGGCATACTTATAAATATTATGTAATATTTAATTAAGTTGTCAGCAACCAAGAAAAAAAAATCAAAAATTATACTTTATTTTTCTCTTTCTTTTTTGAAGAGGAATTTTAGACCCTCGCTTTGTTCGAAATAAAATTCTTATAGGTTACAATAAATTGTATTTCAAAGGTGTTTTGTTTTTTAGAATTTAAAGTCCGCTTCCTGAAAAAAAAACTAGTTTTAGTATTTTATATATCTGTGATTATGTCAAAATAAGAATATACCTAAATATGATATTTAGATATTTTTTTMATGGTGGTCATTACTCAATATGTATACATTGCACATTGCATGCCTCACCCAATAAATGAGTTGAAATCATCAACCCGTGATCACAAATTATATCATTTTTTTATTTTAAATAATCTTTGCCGTGATCGTGAATATACGAGGTTGTTCATCATAGACATTTAAATTTCGTGCCATTTATAAATTATAATTATGTATTCATATTTATTTATAAATTATTAAATTATTGTCCATGAGAATGAGACCATGATGTTTATGCTCGACGTGGTTACGTACTTCATGATAAAAGCTGCTTCATGCTCGGCAGTTGGTACTCCTCTCGAACAACTATTCGCGGGCTGTTAATTATAATCTTATCTATTTTCTTCGCTTTTACAGCTGCGGCTGCCCACTGTCGTTAATCGGAATATTTGATTTGTCTGAAATTTCGTAAGACAATTCTGACTCTTCCATAGTTCCATATACAAATGATATAGTATACACAAGTCGTGTCCGTGACGATTTGAATATTGGCTTTCAATAACGTCGAAATGAACGAATGGTCTGTTATTCATCACTTACTGATTTAGCCCACTCAAATATTGATACTCTCATGCCAGAGTTGTTACTGTCAATAAATCGTCATCCGATCTGGCGATTTACACGACAATGATCTCCATGAACTGCTTCGAGTGGACTAAATAAGGTCGACAACCATGATCTGTTGGATCTTAATGTTGGTTGCGCTTTGCGTGACAACTTTCGGTTTGTGGTTGACKACAATCGTTGTTTCCATTCTCTTGGCGTTTTTCTTGAGGTAATTCTGATTACGCTGCCATTAATGTATAGTAATTTTTATTGGTTTTCTATTTAGTGTGATATGTTTTGCTTACATTACTGTCGAAGAAGAAGCAGCTCTGTACATGGAATCATTGAAAAGAGACTCTGAGTACACAGTCTACAGTCTGTTTGATCCCAAATCTGTAATTTTTCCATATTTAAATGCTCWTTTTTGATTTTTTAATGCAATGTTTTTCATGTATTTAAGATTTCTAATAAAGAAATAAACGAAGATGATGTGAACTTGACTGGTTCCGAGTATATAGATCACCAGCTGTCAGATATTATGGACTACATACTAAGGGACTATGTCTATCCATGGTATAAATAAATTTTATTTTTAATTATTAAGTATGGTCTATCAGATAATGTATATTATATATAATTGTATTTATAATTGATCCAAGGTATGACAAATTAAGTGATGATGAAGATTTTCCTATTCAAATACACAAATCAACTAGTTATTTGATCAGTTGTATGGCTAAACGATTACAACAGGTTGATTTTTTGCAATTTGTATGCACAAACTTGTCGGAAGAAGTAGCCAAACATATYCGTATCTATAGAAAATCATTGAAAGCTACAACCACGAAAAATTTTGAAGAAATTGATTTTGAAACTATATTTTTCCAACATGAACAAGATGTAGACCGCTTAGGTACATCACATGCAAACGTGTGCTTGGATGAAAACTATGAAAAAAGTAATATTATAGAGAGAAATATTCAATCATAATAATGTCTTATGTAACGTGTAGCATTAATTGATTTGGTATATCATTATTATAGAATGGCTGAGGGATATATCGGAAGCCCTAATGTATCATGTTACTCATGAAAATGATTTTAAGTGTCGAACTATACGCATATTGATTCGTGAAATAATATCAAATAAACTATTTTTAACAACTATAAACATGCTTAGTAATCCAGATTATGTTAATCAATTAATTATATGGCTGGTAAATAACTGATAAGTAACTTCAATTAATTTTTATTGAAGATTTAATGTCGCATATTTTTGTTATACTATTAGTGCAGCGACTATCCAGTAACTAATGAGACATTTCTTACAGTATTAAGATCAACTAAATCAAATCAACAATTAAATGCTGTGCACAGTTTAGTCAAAAAAGAAATTATGAATTTGGTATGTTTTAATAATAGTGTTATTATTACCTCAATATTAAACATAACAAATACTTTAGCGATCAAGAGATTCAGGTGAATCAGATAGCAGAGCAAAACAACAACTGAGCAGTCTTTTATTCTTATCTGATTTAATTAAGTCAATTGTTAATAGTATTCCTCAACAATCAGACAAATCTATAGGTAACATATTTGCTTATAATATTATATTTGTATGTATCTTTGTGAATAGTCCTTCCATAAATTAGTTTAATTATTTTTTTAGATTTTTTATTGTCATTTGAACATTCCATGTCCTCTCCAAAGAATGATTCATTATCTTTAAAGTGGATTCTAGAAAGTAAAACTGCTTTGCCATACTTTATTGATTATTTGACTACAATAAATTGTGATAGTTTTATATCATTTTATATTAATATTGATGGTGAGTTTTTAGTATATATATATATATTTTTTTTTTTATTAGCTATTACTGCTATTAGTATATAACTATGATAGCTCAACATTTACAAATTATACATAATACATTACATTTTAATATTATATACCTAACAAAGCCAACATCTGATATAATGAAAATTACTGATTTAATGGCGGTAGTGGATTTTGTGTTGAGTATGGAGTAGATATTAAGGGAGATATTAAGAGTTTTAAGTATGCTAAATGAAATAATGTGTTAAGTTTGAAGGGCAGGGCAGTTAAATAGAATATAGGATAAGTCACAGATACATCAATTTAGGTGAAGTATGCAGAATGGCTATAATCCTCTATTCTATTTATCTAATCTATAATCCTTATAAATATAAGGGCTTAAAATCATTAAGGCCAAGTTTGAAGGAATATATTTTGTTATGTTATTGAATTGGTGTAAAATGTAATATAGGTTGGAAACAATTTGTGCATGAGCAGATGCAAAATGTTAGTGGAGATCCTAGTCAATATTCATCATCTGATCTAGCAACAGTGGATCATATAAGAGACGAAGCGAAAAAGTTGTACTCTTTGTACATTGGTCAAAAAGTAAAATTCAGATCAATTATAATTTTATAATTTCAGCAATTATAAAAATATCTTTATGTTTTTATAATTAGCCCGATATTCAAAATGAACTTGGAGATGATATAGTAAAATCTTTAGCGAAAAAAATTCAAGTTGATTCAGTAGATGAAACATGGTTTGATGAAGTTC